GGTTGCGTTTGTGGTTGTGTGTTTGTTGTTGTGTTTGTGATTGTGTGTTTCTGATTGTGTTTGCAGTTGTGTGTATGTGGTTGTGTGTTTGTGGTTGTGCGTTCTGTGGTTGTGCTTTTGTGGTTGTGTGTTTGTGGTTGTGTGTTTGTGGTCGTGTGTTTGTGGTTGTGTTTGTGGTTGTGTGCTTGTTGTTGTGATTGTGGCTTTGTGCTTTTTGTTGTGCTTGTGGTTGTGTGTTTGTTGTTCTATCTTTCGGGTTGTGTTTGTGGTTATGTGTTTGTGGTTGTGTGTTTGTGGTCGAGGTCCGGCAGGGAACACTGGGCGCGGATGGTCGTGGTTGAGGTCCGGCAGGGAACACTGGGCATGGATGGTCGTGGTTGAGGTCCGGTGGGGAACACTGGGTGCGGATGGTCGTGGTTGAGGTCCGGCAAGGAACACTGAGCGCGGATGGTCGTGGTTGAGGTCCGGCAGAGAACACTGGGCGTGGATGGTCGTGGTTGAGGTCCAGCAGGGAAAAGTGGGCGTGGATGGTTGTGGTTGAGGTCCGGCGAGGAGGAGAAGAAGAAGGACGAGGAGGAGGAGGAGAAGTCAGCTAACATAAAATCTAACAACCCTCACCTGGCAGGTGGGGAATTATCCATCAATCGAACTTCCTGATCTGCTCACCTCTATTCCGTCTACAGTATGCAGCCTAGTCCAGTCAAGAACAGAACCCTGCGTGTCCCAGAAAACACTACACTCACATCAAAATCGTGCATTGCCTGATAACTGCATTGGCAAGATGCGTGCCAACCTGACCACCCCATCTTCTTCCCGTCCCTCCCTCATGGAGCCTCCTCAACGGCGTTGCTTTGAGGTCTAACATCATCCTGAAGTCCAAGTTTCGTTCTAAAGCCTCGACTTCTGAGATCTTTTCAGTCAACCGCTGCAAGAGCTTGAAATTCCCAAGAACCCCTGCAAGTAGATTGTGCGTATCAATGCAGATTTGGACTCTCGCCAAAATGTGACAAGATCCTCCAGACAATGAGTTAAAGGCGTCTGACCAGATTGCACCTACGTGCCAGGGCTCCTTCGGCAGCGGCTCTGCAACTGCTTCCTGAGACGTCTGATTCCGAATCAGAGCGTAGCGACATGGTTCGTCAATGCAGTTCATGTGTACTCATGTGTTGCGAAGGTGAAGAAACATGCCAAGAGTCAAGCACATGCAAGAAAAGCGCAAACAGAAGGAACGTCGTCAGAAGGAGCTCTTTACGATAAAACAGTTCGGACCAGAAAATCAACTAACTTAACCCTTGAGGGAAAGCAAGCCCTACTTATATATATATATACAGTAGGCCAAAAAGCACACTCTTTGTCAATGTCCAAAACAATCAACAGACCACGCGGATCACTATACGTCGTCTCAGCTCCGCATCGTTTCAGATCCGCCTGGCCACTGCCCTTGCAGAAACCCAAACAGCACCTGCCGAAGGATCCACGCGATGGAAGGTTTGCAAAAGTCACTTAGTGATGCGTTCATCCATGAAACAAAAACCGGCCCCCAAACTCCGCAGTGAAACCCCTTGTCCAAGGCAAAAATTGACTCAAAACAAGCAAAGTCAAAGCTGTCACAGCAGCTGAGGTCCTGGCTTCAACTGCATCGCGCTAGCGGTGCTGCTACCCAATTTGGGCAATTAATTAGATGTGGCTTGACAACTTTGGATGGACAACTTTGGATGGAGTCAAAACTGAGCTGCACCTATCACATTGGGACAAAGCCTTTGTCAGATTAGACGGCTGCCTACGTGCTTCTGGCTGAGCAAACGTCTGCAGTCAGAAAATCTAGCTCACGGAAGGTGACAAAGAATCCTGCATCAAGGGCCATGGCCTCTATCCTCCAGGTTGCCCCACTAGTCTTCATCGCTGGCCAATTTCCGTCATTGGCCAAGTACGTGAGACTGACCTCAACTCAAAGCTGTTCCCAATGACACAAAGGGCACCACAATGCACCGGAGTGTTCCGAAGAATGGCACCACTGTTGCAACTGGATTCAAATGGCATCTTTTCCCACGGCAAGACTTCACTCATGCTCATGTGCAAGTCCCTTCAGGATATCTGTCCGAAATGTTCCAAGCATTCCATCTTCGATGCAGAATGTCTGGTTGGCTCCTTTGGATGGGTTGTGGAAGTCCCTTTAGGATTTCCGCCCAAAAGACATCATTCTCCGCTCGAGTCTTGGGTAATTAGGATGATCTTGCCACATGCAATGCGAGCGCCCGCATTCCCAGTCACCTGGGGAGTCGATCATCTCCAACCAGTTTTCAAAAAGTGGTTTATGATGGAGAGATCTTGGGGTACACATTATGCATGTGTATAGATGTCAGTATATTATGTGCAAGACCCATCAATCAACTGCACGCACATATTATTTCATGTACATTGCATCATGTAGATGACATTCGGGTGCAAAAAAGCAGAATCATAAAGACTTGGGCAATCCACTGCATACGTCGGCAAATAAATGTCTGCAAAAATCATCGAAATCCCCGGCCTTGGAAGCCTTGCCGTTCACTGGAGGAGGACCCGGTTGAGAGTTGTCACCCTCGGCTGAGGGTGAAGGACAAAGCGGACAAAGACAAAGCGGTGAAGCCTCTCTGACAAGCTGTGAAGATTGTCAAGTCGCTTTACCCAAATCATCAGGATCAGCATGGACCATGACCTGCATCATAAGGCGCATGTGGCAGGCGGCCGAAAACGCTAATTGGAAAAAAGAAGTCCTGAAGTATCCTAAAGCTATATACTTAATATACAGTACAATAAAGCTATCTGCTCGCCAGGAGACACTCCGGCCGACCACTGAGAACTCTGCCGGGCCGATGATCCTTAGGCACCGAGCAAGGACACCCTCAGGGGCGGGGGCGACAAGTAGAATCTGGTTACTGTAGTAGGAATGCTCCTAGTAGCGATGCCAGGAGCCCCTAGTAGCGTCCTTGCTCCTAGTAGTAAGGCCAGGAGCCCCTAGTAGCTTCTTGTTACTAGTAGCAATGGCATCCAACCTAAAAGTGATGGCCCTCAGAGCTGGACTTGATAAGGTGGTCATACAAAACGCCACGCGCGACTCCGCCTGATCCCCAAGTGCCCACTCGAAGGGAGCAATCTGAGAGTAACATGTGAACACTCAGTAAGGCACTCGAGTCGGCTTCGATGTTGCCCATATCACCAACATGCCTCTCCTTCGCAAAACTGGTCAGTCCCAGAAAACAAAAAGCCAACTGTCCTTCAAAAAGCATGCATCTGACTATGTATGTGTGTGTACTCGGAGTATTTGCCTCGACAAGAGCTGAGAATTCCTTGCGCGTTGCCTGACAGCTCTTGGAGTGTCCTCATCCCACGGGGCCCCATGAGATTTGTTGAAAGGATTGAAGTGCGGTCCAGCACCTTCCGGCCAGGCAAAGTCACGTGCAGAGGCAACTCCGATGAATGGACGGACCGAAAGGCAGAAATTCATCGCCAGTAGGTTGGAGGCCATCGCTATTGGAAACAAAGAACAAAGAAAAGGAAGAAAGGTCTAATATCTATATATATATATATATCCATGCCAGGCAACTGGTACAGCCGTCACTGAAGTCCGCCTGAACAACTCTTTCCAAACAGCTTGCTAGGTGACTGTCACAACTGGGCAAGACCGGACAAGGGAGTTGCCACACAAAAATTGAACAAGTTGAAGCTCAACTCCTCTGGCCTTTTCATGGACGTGGAATCCATGGAAGCCTGGTGTCATCCCCTTGACCTCGTACTCAATCTTGCAACGGTTTTCCGTCTCCTGGTTAAAACAGCAAGCTTCTTCGACGCGTTAAGCACACGCACACTGTCTGCAAGTCTTTCGAACCTGCAATTCACACTTGGTCCTGTGTGAAAGTGACGGTTCCTGTGCAATTGCCTTCCACCTGAGGGCATCTGCGGGCACCGGTTTCACCACAACATCCCAAGAGACACCATTGGCCCAAGCCGCCTGCCTGGGGTGCTCCTGGGCAGCCCTTTCCCTGTGGGGAGACCTCACATTTGGCAACCTCAGGCACATATGTTGCTGTGAGTCCACAGGAGCCCTACAAAGCTGTACTGTTTCAGAACATGTTGCAGCAAAGGGTCTGCCAGTGGCTGCGAGCATCCCTGAAAGCAATTCCCCATGGCTGCACTCTGGCTTTCGAACTTTGAGCCAAGACGGACGGGCTGCGCGAAAAGAGTACAATAATAACACTAGGATTTCCGCTGTACCTATGGAACAGGAGTGCGGGCAAAAGAGAACAAACTGCAAAGCAGAACAGTCATGAAGAATTGGTCTGAGCCTCTGGCTGACTCGACTGGGAAGTTCATGATTTCCTTAGATATGGAGAAATATAAAGTTGATATTCAACAAACTTTAGCAGCACTGGGATAAGTGAAGAGTTATATTCCAGCCTGTGAGTCCAAGGAACGCTAGCAACAGCCGGAGAGGCAAAGACTTCCAGGAGCAAGGTGTTTATCTCAGTCAGCTTGAGGCGCTTGCTCTTAATGTATGCCTGGGCCAATTCGCAAGTTATGGATTCACATTCGAAGGTACGTGGCAGGACTGGCACAAACATGCACAAACATAGACGGACTGCTGAGCAAAGACCGGATGAGTTTCGTAACACAACGTAGAAATGCATTGAAAGAAAGAAAAAACATCGACAAAATAGCATCTGTTCCCAATTGTTTATAATTGGTCCTTCTTTCGTTGTAGGATGAGGGACCTGCAAGGTTGCTGATCGTGATGTCTGGAGACGACGCCCTGCAACAGAGCTGTGAAAAGTCAGGGCGGCTTTCTCCACTTCCTGAGGCAAAGCAGTTTGGCATTAAAAAAGTAGATTTCTATGTTTCCTGTTTTTTTAAGTCCGCTCTCCGGCCTCCTACTACTTAATCAAGTAAGGGAGTAAGCAAACTATTGGGAGAAGTTCGCTCCTACATATGGACGCAGGATAGCCTAAGGGCGAGGGGAGTTTCCTTGAAGAAGCACTCGCACTAATGATTTCGTTCCAAGATGTTTTAGGTAAATTTGAAACAGTTTCTGTTTTGGTGTTTCAATCATGTTCGAGCCATTCCTACCCCACCGCTGGAGACTGCAGGCTGTGGGCCACTGGCGTGAGAGGGTTGGGCTGGTGGGACACGGGCGGCATGCTTTGCAAAATCAATGAACACACTTTGCAAAAAAATACGTGTTCCTTCTTATTTTTGCATGTTGTTCCTTCTTTGGACCGCTGGACACGTCTTTTCCTTTTCCTATCTTGGGATGTTTTGAACCAAACCACCCCAACTACGTTGGTGAGAAAGTGACCGAGACAACTGCAGACCAAAAAGCACTTGATGTCATGTCGTCATCTCCCTACATTATCAACATCCCTTGTCTGTCTATACATTGCTCCATCGGTGTTGTGTCAATCCACTCGAAAGCGATCTTGGCCACGCCTGGAAAGGGATGTCTAACATGTCTGCCACTGCCAGCCTGCAAGGAATTGTTGCAGAATGTCCAATCTCCACTTTTCCGGAAAAATTGTGGACTACACACTGCATCTTCATACATCTGTATATATACACACGCCTGTGTACATGTGCGTGTGCATGCATCTGTACACACTATGTGTATGTACTTATATGTGTGCATCTGAGAAGGGAGGGGATGAAAGCCAGCCTCCATAAGAAGACATCAATGTGGTCATGGGGCGAATTCGACAGCGCACTTGAACTGCTGTCAGGCATGGGGAAATAGAAGGCAGAGGCGGAAAGTCTCGCATTGAGGGACGATCTGACAGGCTCCGTATACACAAGGTTTCGATCAAGCCCTTTTAGCGGTTATAGGATAGAAGTGGAGCCCGTGGGTTAGGAAAAAAGTTGAGTTGAGCAGGACATTTGCAGTTGGGGGGAGAATGGTTGACTTGAGCATGAGATTCACAGGTGGGGGGTGCTTTTTCTTTTGCTTCAAAACCGTTTTCAAGCTGAAAAAGGGGCGCTGCTGTTTGTTTCTCTTGTCATTGTAGATGGACTTCAAAACCGTTTTCAAGCTGAAAAAGGGGCGCTGCTGTTTGTTTCTCTTGTCATTGTAGATGGACTCATAAATTCGGCGTGCTGCTACAGGGGAAACACTAACACCGCTATATGCAAAAGTCATACCTAAGTCATGCCTAAAGTGCAAACCCCAATGGCACCGCCATTGCAACACGCTATATATCTTCTTGTGCTCAGCCTGGAACCAGTCAAGTCTTCTTAGAAGACCAAACAACAGCAGGGGCTGGCACAAAGCGCCGTGCACGGTTGTGTTCATTTGCACACAACCAGGCCTTGCGCCCTGAGCTGCTAGCAAGCAGACGGGCGTTGATCACTTTTTTTCGGAACAAGGATCCCAAGCTATCAGCTTTGCTGGCTTGTGAACGTAATGTTCCCACGTAGAATTCGGCAACCGGTCGGCCGGTGTCCTGTTTCTCCGGCGCAAAACATGGGACGATAAATTCGACACAATGGGCTGGCAATTCAAGATCGATGCTACTGCCAAGATCAAGTGATTGCCTAACATCGGACAAACATTACTTTTGTTATAGGGCGAAGTCGACATTGCAATGACGGCTACTGCTGGCAGAAATAGAAAGCATAATACATAGGTCAGGGGGGGGGGCGCCCTTTTTCTTTTTGCTCAAATGCGTTTTCAAGCTAAAAAAGGGCACGCCTGAATAACTGAGGGGCGCTTGCCTGCTGATTGTTTCTCTTGCCTTTCTTTTGCTTCTCTTGCCTGCTGTTTGTTTCTCGGTCCAAGGATAGCTGGGGTGCCCTTTTGCATCCAGTTAACAGCCCTCTTCACCGTAAAAAAAGGGCACCCCCAAGCAACTCAAAGCTTGCCGACTGCATTCTGTTCCTCTGATTGCCGTCTACTCTACGGGTCACGTTCTTTCTTGCGTTCCCTTTCACTCTTATTAGGCAAGGAAACAGAGGGCGGATAGGCGCACTTCTCACTGTCACGTCGCACCCCCCCTTTCCTGTCCTCCACATGACCTCCCACCCCTTCCCTGGGATAGCTCTGAGGGGTGCCCTTTTGCATCCAGTTAACAGGGGCGCCCCCAGGCAACTCAAAGCTTGCCGACTGCATTCTGTTCTCTCTCCTGTCCTCAACGGGTGACATCATTTCTTGCGTTCACTTCCACTCTTATTAACCACAAGAAAAACAGATCGTTGAGAGACGCACATCTCACTTTCGCGGTGGATTTCCGACCGCTTTTCCTGTCACGTGCTCGACATGAACTCCCACCCCTTTGTCGAAAGACTGTCCAAATAGCTGAATGAGCCCCTCATGATGCTAATGATGCACCATTTGGCATCAATTACATCACTTCCATCGCAACACCCCAAAGACCATACATATTCACTGCTGTTCGGACCAACCAGGCACTTCGTTCGCCCATGGGCTCGCTGTCGTGATTATACATGAGACCTACGCATATTCAGTTGCCATAGCCTAAGAGTGACCATAGATCAACAACCCGGCGCGGTGAAAACCGCGCGTGTGGTTGAGTGAGTTTGTATTGGAGTGAAACATAGTCGGATCCTCGAAAGCTGGGGTGCTTTACCCTTTTTTTCTGATCAGTACCTAGAAGTCATCGCAATTACAATAGGGTTCAATTTCAGGCGGCTTTTACACTGTATTTCACCGTGCTCGGGAGATCTCGTGTCATCAAAACGGTGGTAAATGTTGAGTCCACGAACGAGCTGCTTCGTCGTTTTCTCAGGGAAAATGTACCAAAAAAGGGGACGGTGGCGCTCCTTTTCATGACAGTTTTGCAATAGCCTTCGCAGTCGTTGAGCACAGGTCTTCCGTGCCGACAATTTCGAATCGCCATTGCCAACTTCGAACATGTGTCATGATTTTCGTGTCAAAGGAACCACCAACACGAGTCCTGAACGAATGTGGTATGTTATTTTTAGCAATCTTCCAGACAACATCTCTTAAGACAAGTCAAAGTCGTGTCGTCTCCACACCTCGACCAACCATAAACTTCCAACAACGAGTCGAAATGGCCAGAGTTATCTCAAACCACCTTCGAAGAGACAGGGTAACTCACCTACCATTTCAAAACCACCCAACCTCAACAGCAAATGCTAGACTGCCGCATTTCTTAAAACGGCTACGGATCGTACGAACGACACAAAAAAAGAACCGACAACGGATGCATACTACATGCCATGTGCGCACTCATGCAGATGTACATGCCATGTTAGCTACATACATACGATCGTTATTAAGCCCCCCACCCCCCCAAACCTGTGCGTATGTGCCAAAAATACTGGAATTATTGCTAATCCCATTGTAAAGAAAGTGAAAACAAGAGAAAACTGAGAAGTGGATGTGGTAGAAGAACGTACGGTGTTGCCATGTAAATAATCAAAAGATGCTGTATTGTACAATGAAAATGAAAACATGTAGATGGTGATGATGTTGGTCCCAACATGCATGCTATCATGCCCGCACTGGTAAAATGCACGCGTCTACACGTACGGTTTTCATGCCGTTGGCATCAACAAGAGAAGACTTGGCTGTATGCTCAAGAGCTGCAAATGTGTTTTGGTTAAAAGAAGTGTGTGATACATTCTAATGCGTCTGCTAGTTGCCTTCGCTCTGCTCATCACTACTTGGCATAGGTTCTGTCAAATGTGAAGGCTGAATTGGGCTGAAACAGTTGACAGGTCTTTGCTCGGTGAGCTGTGCATTCACGCGGTCCATCTTTCTATGCAAAGGCTCTAAACTGCCCGGCCTTGTGTAATGCAGGGTCTTGTTTTTCCATTCATTCCAGCACGCCTGTAGCCACACATTGTTGCTTTCTGTCGAATCGGACTGCGCTCTGTGGTCCCCACCTCATTGCACTGCACCTGCATTTTCCACGTGGCAACTGCCTCCTGGAGCTTCTCTTTTGCAGGTCGCACACCTGACTGATGATCTCAGTGTCCAGCCCATGCTCATCAGAGTTTGCTGATCCAATCCACTAAGCTAGACTGCTCCAGGTTGGAGATCCAAACACCCCTCACATTGCCACCTCCAAGAAACTAAATCAGTTGTGACCCCTATATAATATATATACAGTATATATATATATATGTACATATATAACATATATATGTGTACATATATAACATATATATATATGTTATATCATGTTATATATATATATGTTCTATATATACTGTAACTCCCTTATCTCTGTTTTCAGCCAAGTTGCACTGCCCACGTGCCACCTCCGCATCCCCAGCGCAGTTCTGAGTGCACTGAGCTGTGAAGTGATCAAAGAGCTTGTCCTCCATGAAGCACTGGTAGATCGGGGAGAATTCCAAGGCATCCTTTGGAGGTCGAGTCAGGTTGAGTCCTTTCAGTGTCGATGTCAATGTCTTTGTTTGCCAAGTGATTCTACTGAAAACACCCTGCTCCAGTCAAGCATCCCAATTCATTTTCGTCATCTCTTCATCAATGATCTCTTCAATCAATGAACCCGGCATGGGTGTCGTGGTCACCCCACCGCCCTCGCTGGCACGGGCCGCTTTCTGTAACATGTTTTGACTCAACGTGTGGCAGCTGGACAGTGACGGCTAGTCCGCAAAGGTTGTTTCTTTCTCAAGGTTGTAAGTTTCAGATTAATGGGTGGTTGTCCGCTCTCTAAAGCATAGGCATGGTAGTAAGAGGCACCAAAAAAACATGGCAGGATCACACTCTGCAAGCACCGTGCATATGCCGTTCAAGAGCTCTAGAATTGCTACCATTCACATCATGTCCTGACTATGTGAAAGCTACGCTGCTGCGCTGCCTTCCTCCAAACAAGAACACCAACAATTCTTGGGTCACCTCAGACTATCATCGAACACTTGCGAGTAAAGCAGCACAGTAGAACATCTCTGGACTCTTAGATTCCAAGGACTGCACACAATTGGAGCCATTGATTGCTTGGTGTCCGTCTTGCATTGAGCTCCACACTCACATTGCCCACTCCAGTCTTCTCTGCATATGATAAGTTCTTGTAGTCCAGGATTTGCAGATGGGAACCTGCCTCAAGATGCTGAAATCGCAGTTGAGCTTGCTGGTGTGCCAAAGCGACAATGATATTGAAGGCTTTGGAGAGACCAAACAGACTTTCTTGATTAGCCTCGTTGACATCACAATCAAACACCACGGCTGTTGTTGTTGCCTTTGAATAGCCGTTGTGCAAACGTGCACATGTTCACTCCCGCCTCTCCAGCGACGAGTTCGGGGCCGTCCTTCACGAAGACAATGGCATCTTGTGTGGTATGCGCGAAGGTGTCCTTGGTCGGTCTCACTGTATCCGCCCTGTAAAGACAAAGACTGGTTCTTCAGAATGGGCTCGCCCCTGAGGCTGCATCATTGCTGCAAAGTCGGAGGTGCACATGTGGCACTGAAATCCAGGTTGACACAAAATATGTCGACGGTGCTCGAAAGCGGATGGTGACTTGGCCATTGCTGCCAACCTGACCGTGTGCAAATGAAATCAAAGCCGTGTTGCATGTCTACGACAAAGCCTCAGCACGGTACCAGCACCCGAGAACAAGGTTGGGTCCGAGACGCGAAAAATTTGGACTGAGATAGTATAATACTTGGTGCACCATTGTACAATCAAAAAGTACCAGTTGGGACCGCAAGGGCCAAGTCTCCTTCTGAGAGCTTCTTGCGATGTTAAATCTCGGGACGACAATATGTTCGCATTTCTCAATGCGCTTATTGTTTATTGCTTCACATGAGGAACAGCTCACACAACTCACCCTAGAGTATCCTAAGCCGGTTCGCCTGCGTTGTTCTGCTAAGGGATACCCGCTCGCGCCCGCGCAGAGAAAACGGTTGAAGTAAAAATTTACCGTGTTTACCACGCGTGTGGTAGAAGAAAAGGGCAACCCCCGCGGGAAAACAGTATTTAAGAAAACATACAAAAAATAATACCGATTTTTAGCGTGTAAAAAAAAAAGAGGCGACCCCCCAGGAAAAACGTTTAAACAAAAATGAATCTGTTTTTAGCGCGCGTGAGGCGTGTGGTAGAAAGAAAAAGGGCGACCCCCCCGGAAGAACGGTAAAAACACATGATGTTGATGTTTACTGTTTTTACCCCTGCCTCGGGGAACCCCATAGCCGCTAGCCCACGCAACACCGCTAAACCAGCACAGTCACCGGAGTGGGGTGAGGGGTGTTGATTCGCTGCTGGCCCTAAATAGATGCCATGCTTAGCGGGACATGCCCCTCATACTGACTTCTGAAGCAACAGTGTTTAAAGCTACGGTTCAGCCCATGCGATTAAGAAATTTGATTCATCCACTCAGGCCTGGAGATTGCCTCCATTGAAGTCCTCATCATCGTACTTGGGATATGCAAAGTTCATATGTGGGTAGACCGCACATCCTGCAAAAACGAATGTATGTCTGTGAGTCGCACATTCCTATGAGGTTGCAGAAGAGTCGTTTGATCACTTGGGTATCCGAGTGCTCAAGATCTCGGAGATACTTCACCTTCGCCACTAAAGAGGAAAATGAAAAGTCGTTTCCAGGCTCCTGCCAAGTTCAGATGAGGGTTCCACGCCGTCTGCGATTTTCTGGGCGCCCACCATGCCAAGTGAACTGGGTTATCGGGTGTTGATGGCGTCAGGTTGCCCAAGGTGATCTCCATGTCATGCCTGCACAAGCCACCACTTGTCAGTTGTCAGATTGTTTCAATGACAGAGTTTGGATGTATCAGTTTGGATGTAACGTGAGTACCAATTGGATGGTGCATGTTCCATTCTTGCTTGTCAGGCTGCGTATCAGGACCTGGAGAGTTGTAGGCATTGCACTTGTATTGTGAATTGAGTTCGCAGCCAGTCACTTTCCAGTCCCACTCGTCACAGCGCCCCCAGATGTGACTCTCCTGCAAATGAACTCTGGATAGTTTTGGAGCTGTGGAATGGGTTAGGCTGTCGAGTCCTGAGCTGCTAAATTCCAGAGTCTTCGGCCATTGCCACGGAATCTCTCCCCGTTCGTGCCGATCGGAGAATGCCCAAATGCTACAAGAGGAAGTGTGACCAGTGCCTCAAGGCCAGGTCAGCCAGTTCTGGCGGAGTTGCAAAGAGTGAATCAAAAATCCAGAGCCAAAACAACTAGGAGCAAAGAAGCTACTAGGGGCTCCTGGCATCGCCACTAGGAACAAGGACGCTACTAGGGGCTCCTGGCATCGCTACTAGGAACAAGGACGCTACTAGGAGCAAATAACTCTTCTTGGACCGAGTCAACGAACGTGTTGCATCCAGTAATCGTGATGTGTGAAATATGTTTTGCACTAAGTCCACTGCCAGAAGCATCGCAGCGGCGACACCAACCGGAGAAAATGGAAGATCTGAATCTAAGGAAGAGTTGAAACTTGACTATATACAGGAACCAATTCTGCGGGTGGCACGCGATAAACTAACAGCCAAGCTTATGATGAACTACTCCAACCAAAAAAAACCTGCGATATGTCAACATGTGCAGCACAAACTACTCCCTCGAACAATCAGCCCCGAAAGGAAGACTGCTGTACAACCAGGGAGTTCTCCACTAAGCCATGCGGAGCGACTCCAAACAGCGCCCTGGCACACCCTCCAGACCAGCTTCAGGCTGAAGCAGCCGCCTCCGGTGTACCCACCTGAAGAGAATACAATGGAATAAAGGATCATATTGGGCGGCGGCTACAAATCTCTGCCTTCGTTCATCCGCGCGTACAATTGTTCATGTATAAAAGCCACAATCAGCTGGTAGGAACAAGTGCCACGCTACTAGTAACAAGCGCCTTACTAGTAGTAACAAGAAGCTACTAGTAACAAGTGCCTTACTA